AAGTTGTATTGAATTCCAACTTGTGGTTTTCAAGTTATGCTCCGGACAAGGAAAATGTAACAGAGGGCAGACAAGGAAAAGTCACAAAGGGCAATAACTCTGTAATTAGTCAAGATAGAGTTAGGGTTCTTGTGCACTGCACTTCCTCTCATTGTGTTTGACCATTGTATGAAGTTGTTTTGAATTCCAACCAGTAGTTTTCAAGTTATGCCCCGGACAAGGAAAAGTAACAAAGGGCAACAACTCTGTAATTAGTCAAGATAGAGTTATGGTTCTTGTGCACTGCACTTCCTCTCAATGTGCTTGACCAGTGTATGTAGTTATATTGAATTCCAACAATTAGTCTTCAAGTTATGGTCCGGACAAAAGAAAGCAATGGAAAAGTAACAAAGGGCAATAACTCTGTAATTACTTCAGATAGAGTTATAGTTCTTGTGCACTGCACTTCCCCTTATTGTGTTTGACAATTGTATGAAGTTGTTTTGAATTCCAACCAGTAGTTTTCAAGTTATGCTCCGGACAAGGAAAATGTAACAGAGGGCAGACAAGGAAAAGTAACAAAGGGCAATTACTCTGTAATTAGTCAAGATAGAGTTATGGTTCTTGTGCACTGCACTTCCTCTCATTGTGTTTGACAATTGTATGAAGTTGTTTTGAATTCCAACCAGTAGTTTTCAAGTTATGCCCCGGACAAGGAAAAGTAACAAAGGGCAATAACTCTGTAATTAGTCAAGATAGAGTTATGGTTCTTGTGCACTGCACTTCCTCTCAATGTGCTTGACCATTGTATGTAGTTATATTGAATTCCAACCATTAGTCTTCAAGTTATGCTCCGGACAAGGAAAATGCAACGGACGTCTGGACCGACCGACCGACCGACCGACCGCCCGACCGACCAACCGACCACCGGGTGACTCCTATATACCCCCCAAACTTCGTTTTTGGGGGTATAATAATAAAAAATAGTTATTTAACTATTTAATTGAGGGATCCAAATATCTTTTCATTTGATGCAAAGTGAATTAAAAGTATTTGATTGAAAAAAAAAATTGTCCGAATTAAAAGTTTGTAAATTTTCATAAACATTAAGAAATTGAAGTGCACAATAAAGTATTCCTCTTAAGTTCGTCTTCTATCATAATACCTGCCATATCTATGAACTATACTAATATAATGTGACGTTTAAATTGATATGCGACCATAGCTTCGTTATTTAGAAGAATACTTACACGGATGATATGAAAGGTAATACATTTTATATGAAATAAAGGTAAAGTTTTCACATTACACTCTGTTTTAGAAACAATGGATATATAAATGGCCCACAGAATAGAAAATGAAAACAAGTGAAAAGTTAAGTGAGTCTGACAGTAAGATATATATAAAACTGTCACTTGTATCAGCTTTGGCAACATATTATCTTAACTTAGAAATCAAAACCATCTCTTTACAAGGAACAAAACATGTATATTCTACCTAAATTGATATGCAATGTACTCCCTACTCAAAATATTGAAACAAATAACCGAATTCGTTACATCAATCTTCAACTGTAGAAGACGCAATTTTAGTAAACGCCTAAAAATACATTCTTGTCAACTAACATTACTATTATGTATTAAGTTTGGTTTTTATACACCAGGCCTCTTTGCCTCAAAAATAAATTTGACCTTCTCTCCAGAAGAATGCATCCCAACGGCAGGATATAAATGAAAGAGGCCATAGACAAATTGCCGTTCTCCAACCTGAAGGAAAACAGTATACATGAACTGATTTTTAATCGAACTAATAATAAAATAGAAGAAAAAGGTAAAGGTATGAACGAGTATAGTTACATCGATCCTTTTTCGAATAATTATTTACAAAAAATTAAGGTATATGATAAAAAATTGTTAAAATGTACTGATGAAAGAAACACATAATCTAAAAAACACTGTTTCACAGCAATTTACTACCTTTTTGCCATTTCTTGTAAAAACAGCATTCACAGTAATTCTGACCCCAAGTCCGCTGCAATAAATAAAATTATTTATTTAACATTATTGTTTGTCTTACAGGTAAAACATTTCAGCACCAGATTCGTATCATTTCGTGTGTCATGTCGTTATCAGAAGACATCATTACATTTCTACAACTAGACTTCTATGTTTCTGCCATTTTGATCTTACTAAATAAAGAATGAAAAAAGTAATAAAATAGATCTTTAATTATACGAGTATGATAAATATCTGTTTACAAAATCTCAAATCTGAAACTGAAACTGTATAGTTACTTATTCGTTCTTGCCTTTTAGAGGTGAATGGATTTTCGATATAACAACAGGATATTTACCCAGATTTCCTTTAACCCCTAATGAAATAAAATGTTGATATGAATTTTCGTGTTAATAGTTTTTACCGCTGTACACGACATCCGTTTATCCAGCAACCAATCTTGTCACCAACGAGACATTTCGGCCCAAACACCGTGCCGCTTCCACTTTCGTGATAAAGCCTGGAAGATTAAACTACAAATACATTGCAAAAATGCTTTCATATGTACGTTTAAAAGTCAACTTTTGCTTTTCAGAGACAATATGCGCTATCAATAACTTGTTTTCTACATACTTATAAAATCAAAATTAAATTTTTGGTTAAATAAATGGCCTTGGAGTTCGCTCATCAGAAGTTCATGACATGTCATGAAAAAGCCGAACTTATGAGTATATTAATTCCAAAATAAACAAGATATGTCAGAGTATCGACGGAGCTCGACTTATTTAATACTGGATGTAGTAAAGAAAAAAACAAAACTATGCAAAATTCAATTATGATATAAAATATGTCATTCTGTATTTTTGCACCACGTAATATGCATGTGGCCATGTCAATAAACGTTAAACAGACATTTCTATGCTCGAATGGAAAAGACAACAATTTGAAATCTGAAGCCAATCCCTTTAATAACGAAAATGATAAGAACAAAAAGTCATCATATACAGTTTTTAAAGTCAAATATTATGTTCAAAGAGAAAAGAACTCTTGAAATAAAGATGCTTTAGATACCTTGTCATAATGTCATACCTCCATAATGTGAGTAATGACAAAGAATAATTATCTTAGGTCTAGTGTCGATACCGTTTATTATAACAAAGAAACTACTTCAACACTTTCATTTTAAAAAAAATCATATACATTCCAAGTTCAAAAATTAGAAGGAGTTAATTCTGGAAATACAGGAGCTATTGCTATAAATCTTATCACAAAGCACTAAGGTGTTGATAACAAACATATTTTTTAAGTTTGAATTAATTCCTAAATAAATAAAGGAATATTTTCATTGAACGGGGAGATAATTCGGAATATTGACGCTTAAGTTACGAACCTTTCATATTATTATACTGAAGTTGATATGTAACTTAAATTTATTGTTTAAAGTAAATCCTTTGAAAAATAAAGAAGTTTTAAAAAAGATAAAGATTTTATAAAAGGAAGACCAAGTTAAAGGGGAAATAATTCTGGAAATATTCATGCCATACTTAGGAATATTGTTGCACAAGATATCGTTGATAATAAGTAACAAATATTTGAAGTTTGACGAAGATGTCGGTGATAGTAAGTTACAAATATTTGAAGATTGTAGAGGATACCTTAAAAAATGAAGAAGTAATATTAAAAATAACATTCTAGTTTAAGGGGGATAAAAATGAATACAATGTGTGCTAGATGTGATGAATCTTGTCACACATCATGTCAGTAATGATAAGGAACATATATTTGAAGTTTGAGATTGATTCCTTTAGAAATAATAAAATGTTACAGTAAAATAATATTTTTATAATAAGGAAAATTCTAAGTTCAAAGGTAAATAATTCTAAAAACATTGTATTCAGAGTTACGAACCTTGTCACATAAAATAAGGTTGATGATAAGGAACATATATTTAAAGTCTGAAATAAAGAAGTAAGAGTAAAAATAATATTTTATACGGATATTCTAAATTCAAGGGGAGATAATTCTCAAAATATTGCTTCTGAATTTATGAACCTTATCATATAAGATGTGGTTGATGATAAGGAACATATATAATATTTGAAGTTTTGTAGTTGATAAAAAGTGAAAAATGAAAAAAGTTAAAGTAAAAAATATTTTTACTGCACTTAAACTTTAATCTGAAACCTGGAAGCCGACACCGGCGCCGACGCCGGGATAAGTAGGACAGTTATAAATATACTTCATGTAGTCAAGCTAAAAGCAGCATGCCTCCAGATTCATGCTAATTTTCCTGAAACTTTTGAAAATGTATCTAAAAGTAAATATTGTGAAGTGAACAAAAAAAGTAATTTACACATTGCAAAGGGCACTTACAATCCACGTACATTACACAAAGAGGTCAAAATATACATACTCGTAAATACCTCTTACTGCGTTAGTAACGCAGTAGAATTATAGTGATTGATATTTCAAAATCAGTCACTAATCGCGCATAACATGAAAATAATTAATTTAATATTGAATCTTGTTACTTTCTTAAGATATTTATAATTTTTCTATAGATTAAATTTCTTGAAATATTTTGGCTCATCTGTAGGCGTGCCGCTTTAACATCCCATCAATGCAAATATTTGAATAGGGGCAATAAAATGTAAAAAAGAAACATCTATCACTCTTGGCTTTCTATATATACTGTGACTGTTACGTTTTTTAGAATAAGAATCTCACAAAATTTCATTTATGAAAAACGGATAAATTTGATTTTCTAAGACGCATTATGCTAGCTCAAATATAATCAATGTATTTCATTATGCTAATGCAATATTACAATAATAAAGTCACGTTTAAATCACCTGTAGCAAATGCCCTTATTATGACATTTAATGTAAACATTTATAACTACAATGTTTAAATGTCTTACCGGCCATCGTCGGCATGATATCCTATTGAGTTCTTTCCCCATCCAGGCTGCATATTTCTTGGGTAATTGTATGGCACCAAACCCAGAGCTTATATAATAAAGATAAGTGAAACAAATATCGTTACAAATTTCGTTCCGAATCTTTGGTGAACATATAAAACATAATTTCTAACTTTTTGATAAAGCAAACTTTTTGAAAAAAAGTAAGAGACTATTTTGCATTTATAAATTGTTAAGCATTTTTACAATACATTGTCGTCAAAGAATAAATGAGCCTTTAAATACCAATTGTTCCACTCCGTCCTAAACTCAATATCTCAATCTCGAAGTATGTTCCATCCACTATTGCATTCTTGTCAACGTACAGTCCAACCTCTCCGTTTTCATTGTCTGCATAACTGCAATTGTATGCGTGTAATAATATTCTTACATAAAAATAAAGTCATAAAGACAACGCCTTATGCTTCATCAAATTGTTAAAAGGATAAAGTAAAAATATATAACGAAAACCTGATTACATGTTGTTAACTATATTCGTCATTACATATAATCATGTTAAGTTTTTTTTAATAATTTAAATTATATATTCCGTTTTCTTAACGAGAAATTGGGATATGATTATTTGATTAAAAAAACACAAAACAACAACAACAACATAACAGAAAAAACAACACTATAACGGTAAAATTCTATCAAAGGCTACAATAATACGTGAGATATTCGCCATCCACTTTCACATGTCTACATATCAACTGCCTTTCTAGTAATGGTGTTGAAACCGTCTACAAAGAAAAAAATGTTTTCGACTATGTGTATTTAAAAATACTAAGATACAAACTCTACATTTATTATCGCATCTTCATAATTGTGTGTTTTTGCTAAAAGGCTTGACGTAACTGTTTTTGGTGGTAAAGCAATATTTCAAGTTTAATCTAACCTTAACATTAAATACGTTTTAAAAGAACACCTTTGATATAATTTGAGGAATGCACTATAACAAAAAATTAAACAAAGAAATTGATACACAACAAATATTCCTTTTTTAAAATGAAAACCTTTTATAATAATGTTTGAGAAATGGAACCTGTAAATCAAAAAAAGGGACCGAACTTTACAAAATAATTTAAGGATTACCAGCTCTTTTGAAACTCCTTGTTCTATGATTTCTTCTTGATCTGAAATTTGATTTATGCTAGAAACTTAAAATATAACTCTATTTTTAATATTATATAATTTATTTCTTCTTTTTATTCATTTTATTCATGTTTGTAATATATGCTTATTACGTTTATATTCACTTATTATACATACAAATGTTTACAAATGTTCAGAGTTTAAAATGCTGAAAAATTAGTCCAGGGAATATATAGACTTGTTGAAGCTGAGGGTTTACTATTCTAACCATATGTATAATATGTCCAATTATCTTTTGTATTAGAGTATGAATGCAGAAAGAAATAAGAGCCTGCGTTTGGTAAACTCGTTTACCGTGATTCTTGTCAGAAGCCAAAATGGTTTCCCTTTAACTCAGTAATGGAAGGTGAGATTTCTAAGAAAAGTATTTCATAACTTAACAGTGTCATGACCTTTTTATTCTTGCAGACTTCAATTTTATAGCAAAAAAATATTTAACAAGTTATTTTGATTTTGAATTTCAATATTATATTTTTATTGATTTGAAAAAACAACATTTTTATGAATAAAAAAACAAAAAAACAACAACCAAAAAACACACCCCCTCCAAAAAAAAAACATACCAAGAAGAACTCATCAAATGAGTGTAACAAACAATTACACATTCAAATCCACAATTTTATCACTGATAAAATATCATGCTTGTTCCAGAAATTACTTAATATAAGAGAGTGACAAATAAAAACAAACTTAATTTGACAACACAATATCCTTACAAAGTAAAAAAAGTTTAATTCGTTTGGCTTGATCTTCACAGTTCATTAACTATTCCGATTTGGATGACAATAAAGTGTTTCCTTAACATTTTTTCTTGTCTCATCCCATTCAAGCAAATAATGAAAGTCATCCCCAATAAAGTTTTATTACAGTGTGTACAGTGTCCTTTAATATCAATACAAAGATTTTTTTCTATATGCAGCTATTGATGTGTAGTTCTAAATTTACAAAAATATCTTGAAAGTTGGATTAGTAGTACATCTAAGTTTTCCTCACACATTTTAAACATATGGTTAACTAAACATTAACAGTATACAACAATTCCTGCAAAAACGCGTCATTCAATCTGCGTTTAAAATATAATAAATTGTTACTATTATCAGTAATAAAATATTAAAAAAGACCAAATTTATTGCTTTATTAATGGTTTTTGACAACGTTTATCCATAGGAATTTGCATGTATTAATTGTATGTAATTTTAGAGCAGTATTATGAATATTTACGTTTTAATGACAAACGTTTCGAACAATAACAAAACAAACGTAAAAATCGTAAATGAATATTTAAACACTTAATTCCCGTCTAATAACTCAGATGTAGTTTTTTCAGACCTAAACTTTATTAATAGTAAGGTATAACAATTTTAAATGATGTCAGTATTTTTGACCTCCATACTTCACTCATACATTAGAATGTGAGTAACAATAACGTAATAGAAAATGTGGTTCAGCAGAAATGGACATGCCAATTTGTCAAGACTTCAGTGAGTGAAAAATATGACTTTTCGTGCCTGCTCAACTAATTTGGACCTTTCCCAGTTTTTAGCAGTGAAAATCCAGACCTTTCTTTTCTATTCATTGCTAGGTCTACACAAAATGGAACGCGGTTGACTCAATTAATCATTTAATGAGAAGATGAACGTTAAGCAAAGAGACGTTAAACCCGGGCGAATGTATATCCCAACGGGCAGCAGATAGATTTTGCATCATTTTGTACTTATTTTCAGATATTGATTTCAACTTAGGCCTTTAACAAACTACAATTGGATAAAAAACATTTTTGGAATTAAGCTCTACCTACACAAAACCGTTAAATACTATCGATTTCCCTGTTGTCTATCAATAAACCACAAAATGACTGTCGTCTTGATATTGTTAAAAACCAAACTTTATATATAACAAACCATTACCAAATACATCTTCGACTTCCTGAAGCCTCTCCAGTTGACCAAGGCTCGCTAAAGTGCTAGTTATCTTGCTATCCTTTATGAATTCGTAAGGCTCAATTTTGTTTCTGCTTTTGATATCATTAAGTTGCTTCATCAGTCGATCCAACTTATGTTTTTGTGAAACAGAACAGACAAAGAGCTGACTTGGACTCTGCACCTTTGACTTAAATAAATCAGATATAACATTCAGATCACTTATCAAACTTTCAGTTTCGCCTTCTAACTTTGTCATACTCAAACTATCTCTGTCCTTTATGCATTTGCCTTCTTTAAGCATACGATCTCTCAAGTTGTTAATTTGTGTAGTTATCTCTTCCCAAAACAGGTTAACTTCCTGTTTGAACTTATCATTGATATCATCAACTTGAACTTTATTGTTCTTTATTGACGACAATAATCGTTTAGCTTCAGTCGTGCATATTTCCGGTCCTTTGGTCAAAGACTCCAGCTCTGTTGTGCCTTTAAGATCATTTGCCTTATCAAGAATATAATCGACCTTACACGATCTATGACCTATGACCATACAATCTCCGCAACCAACTTGCTCGTGCTGTGCACAATAAAACTTCACTGATTCGTTTAAGTGTTGCTCGCATTTCTCAAATTCACTTGAACTTTCTCTCCGTGTTATTTCAACATTACAATCAATTAAAGTGTGATCTCGATTAAGCTTATACTTTTTGTGTGTATTGAAACAACTCGAACACATATACTCTTCACAATCCGTACAGAATCCATCCGCTTGAGTCAACACATCACTTTCTTCACATGGTTTGCAAGAAAAATTATCTATTTCCCTCTTTCCTGGAACCTCCATTGTTTTCAAACAGAATTATTCAATGTAGTAAATGAAAATTGAAGGCTAAGTCATTCAATAATTTACTGTATCTAATTCATACATCTGGTAAAATAACAATGTGCATGTGTGGAGGACGACAGCTAAAAAAGAAAAAGATATACAGTATACTAAAATTAAATTAAGAAAACATATACATGCACGGTTTAACATTCAATACAGCTGTAGCTAATGGGTTAATACCGAAGTGAGACTGACGTTTTATTTTCTCGCTAGATTATCTAATTAATTTGCAGAAAGTAATGGAGATATATATTAAAAACAATATTTCTGTAATAAAAATCTCTGACACCAAATATGTGACCAGACCGCGTATATCTTATCTAAATACGAATTTATAAGATTGGGTGTATGAAAACAACTTTAATGTAATAATTTAAAAGTTAAAATAATCATAAAGCATACAAACTTGTAAACTTCCGTTGTATTTAAGAGTTTTAAAATTGTCACTGTTTATGCTTTATTTGCGTTTGTATATAGACACGCTTTGTTTATGGCCGGATCGATTTTCAGATAATTGTGTAAAGGCAAGATTTTTAACACATTGTAAACAGTGTAAATATAATGAGATTCTTTCAACCCTATTTTGTTTAACTTTATGCAGAAGAAAAGTACATAGTTTAATAAGCAGTAAAAAATTTTGTGCAAAGAAATAGTTTTTTCCCTGATAACTCAGCATACGCGTAGTTTAATCTACAAAAGTACGGTATATAAGCTTAATAGAAACCGAAAGTTGAATTTTACATGCCAAATGAGTTTTTAAAGTATTCTTGCTAATATGCTCTGATTAACCACAAACAAAAAATAACAGTAATAAAACAAAACGATCCTTTTTACATCATTTTGTTCCATATATTGTACCCTTAAGAAAATTATAAAAACGAAAGTAGGTTGATTATCATAGCAATAAATGGTATGATTTAAATATATTTTAACCGATACGGTGTTACAACATGTCTATCTTGCATTTCATATAATTAATACATACCAATATAGGTAATAATACCTTAAGTACAAACTTAAACACATTTGTTTTTGCTTTCTTCGTCAAGCAAATGATGTCATAAAATAAGACGAATCGTTTTGCAAAATACCGTTATCGACATCACAAAATTTTACGCTTATTTCAAACTGTTTAACCTGTCGACAAAATTTAGTTCATCCTCGTTTTACCAATAACTTTAACTGGTATGTAAAATTTAATCTGTTTAAATCTTTATCTATGTCAAAACCTTCGCAAAATGATGATTATGCTTATAATAATTGTCTTAATTTTTAGTCATGTATTTATTGTCTTATATTTATGAAATTGAACCAAACATCGTTCTTTTTAAGCAAAACTATATGATAAAATCATATTGCTGTACTTTATGATACTGCATACCTCGCCATTTAATATACATAAACTGTCCTAAATAGCACAATCACTCACACCAACACATCTTAGCAAGGACATTAAACAAATCATTAATAATTACATTACAAAAATGTATTAAAGGAACAAGAAATCATGCATTAAGGCAAAAATGTATGCTTTGTTCTTCAGGACCGTTGAATTGTATGAGTTGTACTTCACGGTTCATTGCGAGCCTGTGTGTACGTTGTGACATTTGAAGTTAAACCTCTCTGGTTCCAGTTTAAAATAGAGATCCTTTCAAAATTGACTTAAAATACAATACTGTATGAAGTAAAAGATTTTCAGAATAATCGCCGTCAAACAAATTTGTAAATTATTTGTCTTACTCTTTAAGTAACTGGACAGACAATTCACACAGTTTTTGCGATTAAACAACTCTTACTTGTCTCAAAAAATAGACAGTACATCAACATGAAAAAAATCTTTTAATATAAGACAATTATGACAATCTTAAGAAAAATGGCATATCAGTAAGACACATACATATAGTAATATTTCTTAAATTCATGGTAATTAAATTCTGTCCTAAATAACGAGAAACCATTTGATTTCGAATATCAGATGTTTTTGGCCTATTCTTAGAAACGGAATTACAACAGGTACTGACTACACTATATAACTTCCACAAGGATTAAAACTGATAGATTCTGCATTCATGCATTGTATACACACCGGTCTCTCAAATATCGACCTGTGTCGTACGACGCATAAATCATCCCAAAATGAGGGTAAAAATGACTCCGATATAAAGAAGTCCGCGTAGTGATGATGATTTTATTTTATAAAACACAATATATCTTTTCAATTGATTAAAATTGTTTATTGCTTCCAAGGGATCACTGTTTTTAAGATTTTAATATTGATAGTTCGATATTGCAATTGATAGTTTGACTGTGTTATTATTTATTCAAATATTCTAAAATACTTTCACTTTCGGTTTTAAACTAACAATGGACGAACTATTATCACGCACGTTGAACGAAATTGGGTTTGTAAAACCACTTAAGAATGGTCAGAAGGAGTGTTTGATGAATGTTTTGAGTAAAAATGATGTAATGGCTGATTTGCCAACAGGGTATGAAAAAAGTTTGATTTTTCAACTGGCCCCATAAATTTGCGTTTTGTTCTATCATGTCCATGTTCAAGCCATGTCAAAAGTAGTGTGTTCCCATCATGCTTAGGGAGGTTTCACACAGGTCAGTAAGACCGGTGTACACAATGCTAGTTCATGTGCCAAATTTACGCTGTAAACATGTTACGCTGTAAAATGTTTAATTAACGGTAGCGGACGATTTATTGCTTTAAAAGAAAACAAGTCAACACTAACACATATATATTTAGCTGTAAATAAAAATGAAAATTGACGACTGTAATATCTGCTACTAGTATATGTCCCTTGGGGCCGAGAACCCAGTAAGTAACACAGTGTATGTTTTATACGTTTATACGTTTATTCACTACGAGCGACTATTGTACACTACTTGGTATGTAAGAGGCTGATACAGAGTGGCTATGTAACATGATACATATATCTACGTCATCATATATTGTATGGACACTACAACGACTTGCCCCAAAACTGGAAAGTTTAAACGGTCTCTGGTTACTCTACCTTACGTAAAACATCTGGAAGCTTTGAAGCCAGGGAAGACAACGGCGGAATCCGATGACAATCTTTTACCGATGATTAGTGTTTAAAAGAGGAAAACAATATACATATATATACATAAATAACAAATTCATAATAATGGAGTTTTTGATTCCACAAAATCTTTGATTTCGTTAACAAGCTCTCGGCTATACTTTTGATCTCCAGTCATGTTATTCAAAACCATATCACTGACACTTGCCGAATACTATAGTTTCAGTTTGTTATATCATATCTAATTATCAAACCATTCAATAATAAAATTGAAAACAAAAAATGAAGAAATTGAAGTACACAATTTTGATTAACTGTATGACCTTGTATCAAAGAGAGAAACAATTACATGACAATGAATATAGCGGTATTTATCGCCGAGTAGAACTTGTATGTGACAAATGGCGTTTGGATAACCTTGTATGCAAGCTGCAGATGCATGCTAACTAGCGTCAGAATAAATTGTTATTGAACTTTTCAGGTACAATTAACATCGGTTAAACGAAAAAATGCCTTCTTTTAATCACTCCTAAATCCGAAATATCTATAATTGAGTTCCAACTGGAACTACATTCAATGGCTCTATGTAGATTTTAGTCATTATCTAACACTCGAATCAGTGAAATAATACCAGTACATTTAGCCATATCGCGTGCAGACAGGAAATGAATTTTATGTATAAATACTGCACTAAGCTTTTCACACGCCTTATTTAAGGAAAGTCTAAAGCATTATCCTTTACAGTCCTTAATATACCAAACCATTCAAGATTTTAAACTGGAGTTGCATATTTAATGAAAACATCATCTTTCAAGGTACATTCAACGGTTTGTGTACTGCCCATTCATCATCTAAAACAATACGAACCTAATTCCCTGAAGCCGGATAAATTTTACAAGGCATCAGTATTTAGTCCACATAAATGCTGCCGACGCCAACCCAAGCGGTAATACACTAAAACGGAATTCTTAAGCTTTGCTTTTTAAGTCTTTGAAAAGAAAGAGGTATCCCCAGTGAATGGCTAAACGTCTTTCACAGACAGCACAACCTTCACTAAATCAGCAACTACATCATTTACAAAATTGAAATGATCAAATGAGGATTTATCATTTGCATGAAATATGATTGAGGAATATTGAAAAAAAATATAACGAACGGCATGGCGTAAAAATTTTGTACTACGTCAAGATTATAATAAGATGACGCTAAAACATTTTACCAATAATCAGAATGAAATCGCAACGTATCCTTAAAACCCGAGTTAACGTTTAGTCTTTTTGCCTTTTTTTCAAGAATAATATGAGCCGCGTCACGACAAAACCAACAAAATGGGTTTGCGACCAGCATGGATCAAAACCAGCCTGCGCATCCGCGCAGTCTGATCAGAATCCATGCTGTACGCTTACAGACACGATAACAAGTAAAGAAACTGATAGCGAACAGCTTGGATCCTGATCAGACTGCGTGGATGCACAGGCTGGTCTAGATCCATGCTGGTCGCAAAACCATTATGTTGGTTTTGTCGTGACGCGGCTCATATGTTATTCCCCCGCCCCCCAATTAAAACCCTTCCTCTGCCTGTGAAAAATTTTCTGATTATGCAGTATCATTCATATACGTAAGTCCTCTTCTGCGCATCAGCCAAATGTTCCCACGACCGTTCACAGGGAGTATGAAGAGTGACAGTTTTCTTTCAGAGATTGGCTAGAATTTATAATGCTAGGTAAGCTTGATTAGTTCTTAAGTCTGTAAATTTGTTAAAAATATGTACACACTTCTATTTCAAAAAGGGCACATTAAATGCACTAGAATCCACCATTTAAAGGAACTCCACTGAGGTTTATAAGCCTAGAAACATAAATTTTTTAATTATTAATTTAGCTCAACATAAGCAAATAAAACAGAAATATAAATAGAATATAACTAAGAAATATACAGGAAATACATTGAAAATCATATGTTTGTGCTATTCTCCGTCCGATTTGAGTGAAAAGCGTTTAAACGCTTTTC